GGAAGAAGAAGCGGTCTGGACACAGCGAGGAATGGCGGGAGGTCCCAGCCCCATCCTTAGGATTTCTAGAAAAACTGCAGATGCAGGAATGCCGGTGGGTGGGTGGGAGGCAGAGGAGATGATATGCTCGTGCAGGACAGTGGGAAAGAGTTTGCTCCCCATCTGCACGGTCATCCTGAGCAGAGAAGTGCTGCTGGTCGGTCTCTGTTCTGGGAAATGGGAGTCTTTTCCCTCCCCCTCCCTTTGATCCTTTGGGAGCCTCTGGTCTCAAGGGGAGCAGCCTGTTTTATAGAGTGTTCCCCTGATCATTAGGACCCAACGGAGCTCGCTCGGAGAAGCCGCCCTTCTTTCCCCTCACTGCCCAGCCACAAACCCTTCCCTCCTTTCCTCTTGCCCGGACAATGCCTTCATTTCTCAGAACGGAATGATCTTCCTGATGATGATGAGAGATTCTCTTGAGTCATATGCATACAGACACCCATTTATATATGTGTGTGCATATGACTCAAGATAATGAAATCCAAAGACCAGCATGAGATGATATTTATCTCTGTCTCTCTCCACACTCAGGAACTGGTTGGTAAAATAGCGAATGAAACACAGCATAGAGGTGAGAAGAGAATGTGTGCTGCAATAAGACAATCCTGTTACATCCATCCTGTAGAATCCAGCGTTGTAGTAGCTAGTAAGGAGAAGGTTTTGGAATTTCCGGAGCACTGATAACCTCCAAGATATTGCAGTATTATTTGTCGAAAGCCTAGAGTGGATCCAGGGAATGAGGAATCTATGTACAGTAGAAAGTTATTTTCATGTTATTTTCAGGGAACAAGAGATAGAAAAAGAGTGGGTTTGTTTCATCGTGTGTTTTGATAGGAATGAACTTACTGGATTTCTTGTGCCTGTTTTGTGTCATCAGTACACTGACTATATGCAGGCTTTACTCTTATGCAAACCTATTTGTAAGGCATTCTGGGAGGTGGGGGTGGGGAAACCATTCATGTCCAATTTACAGTGATATAAAACAAGCAAAATGTTGTGCATCTGGGGTCCAGCCTTAGCTAGGGTGACAGCATCCAATTTGAAGGCGTCTTTGTAACTGAAAAATGATCATAATCCTATATATGAAATAAAGCAGTGTGGTGTTTTGTTTTATTTTTTGGTAGTGCAACGCACTTTGCAAATATTGTCTGAATAATTGTCAGAACAGTCCTGTAAGATAGGACAATGTTATTTATCAGTGTCTTGTCAACATAAGTACACAATTGGTAGTAGCACAATACTTGGACAAAGGGTTTCCTGTACTGTAGCTCCATGTTATAACTACCATGGCCATTATAGTGACTATGCTATACACTGGATTTCTCAAATGTTGATCTAACCAAAGGTTAAATCACTTATTGTTGGTTATCTGTCAGGAGTACCGTAATTTGGAAGTGGGTAATAACTTAAAAAGAAAATACTGTCATTGTGTCATATAAAAGAATGTTTTCCCCCCAATTTGTAAGCTGCCCTGGATCCTTGAAAAGAAAGGCAGCATATAAATATTTTAAATAAAATAAAATAAAATTGTACAGCTTTGAATGTCCTCATCCCAGACAGAAAACTAGTCCACTGGAAGGATGGCTAGGAACTTATCGCTCCTGACAAAGCTAGCATTTAGTATGAAGGGACATAAGCTTTATTAGTTTACTAGTATTTGAATGTTAGAACTCCTTCCTCTGCAGTCTGAAGCAGTCCAGATCCAAAACACCATTACCCTTTGTTCCTATCAGTTCTATAGGTCCCTGCAGATGTGTGACAGTGTAGTGAACGAAGCCAACCCAAGACCTTTTTTGCTGCCTAAGAAGAAGGATGTGATGCCATCATTTCCCCATTCTATGTACAGAGGCTGTCTGGAGTGCCAGCTGCATCTTAACTGGAACACTGTTGTGGCATAACGTCCAGCAGCAGGCTAGTTTAATGGGACAGATGGTGCAGCGTACACAGAGCTGTCCTCTGGCAGATGGAAACAGCTGCAGAGACCAGGAGGAATGTCCAGGAGGCTTCCACTGTTAGCTCACAACATCTGCTGCCCGGTGCAATTGCCTTAAATTGCCTAATGGTAGGGCCAGCCTTGGTGGAAAAGGAAAAGTAGGAGCAAGCCAATTACCTGATCCATACACATTCATAACCAGGTATGAAAAGAGCCCTGTGCATCCAGTTACTTTTCAAGGATTCCAGATATATGGGAAGCGCGCTATGCTTATTCAGCTTTACACATGAGAATTGATTGCAAAGCATGCAATCGATGTAGAAAAATTAGGTACACAAAATCTCAGCTCGGTCTCTCCACACGTTCATGTGACGTCTAAGAGGAGTTTATGAAGTAGCCCTAAATGATCCTCCTCAAATTCAGAATCTCGAAGGAAATTTCTAACTGCAAGTCTACTGTTAATCTGGAAATACTATGGTAACCTCCATCTACGTTGTATACCCAAATGTTCACAAAGTCATTTTAACTTTCTAGGGTGCTATTTCTTTTCTTATTCAAAAATGTATTTGTTTCATTTGTGTTTACATGACTGATTTCCAAACAGTGCAATTACATTGTACTGAAACTACCTTGAATATTTACAGTAGCACTCAAATATCATGCTTGATTTCAGGGCTTGGAGTAAATAGCAGTTTTGTTTGGTTCTTCCAGACCAATTGTGCCCCGCACAGAACAAAGGGAAGCCATTATTTTTATCTATGACATTTTCTATCTCACTTTCCCTCCAAGACATACGTGGCTTTTAACCACTGTGCCTCGTGGCGCAGTGGTTAAACTGCTGTACTGCAGCCAAAACTGTGCTCACGACCTGGGGTTCAATCCCTGGTAGCGGCTCAAGGTTGACTCAGCCTTCTATCCTTCCGAGGTCGGTAAAATGAGTACCTAGCTCACCTGGGGGGAGGGAATGTGTAGCCTGCATAATTAACTTGTAAACCACCCAGAGAGTGCTTGAAGCGCTATGGGACCGTGTATAAGCAGCACACTTTGCTTTTTTCCTCCTCATTTTCAGACTTTGCCCCCCTAGAAAGTTGAAATATGGCGAAGTAACCTAAGGGCCAATCAGTGATTTTCATGGGTAACTGTGGATTTGAACCTGGGTGTCCTGACTGAAATCCAACATTCAAATCATTATGCCATATTGGCTTTCTGAGATCCAAATCAACTTTTCACTGTATAGCCAGCACTATGGCCTGGATAATATTATCTCTTCCTGTAAGAGTGTGGTGGTATGTTTGCAGAGCAAGCTGTATTTATATGTTTATGTACAGTATCTACATCTGTGTCTGTCTGTGAGGGATGCTGAGGATATTCTGTGTAGGCAGAGAATATTTATTTAATATCATAGTGACGTTATCAATATTGTCTGTTCTCATATTATCTAGGGGTGGCTTTTTCTTTACTTAAACCAATAACCAGTTTAATACTGAGCATGGTAGTTTTAAAACTATATAAAATATACAATTAAAATAATTTTCAAAAAAATCAACCATACCTCTGAAGTTGGAAACAAACAAACGATTCTTGAGAATGTTTAAAAGTGGGTTTAAAAACACATGAAGCTTCTTTGTTCCATTTAGCCTGCAAATGGAGAAAACATGGCCAAAATATTGCCGGACTACAGGTCCCATCAGCTCTCTCCATTGACCTAGGATCTTGATGTAGCTGAGTACTGTCTATTCCAGCCTCCCCCAACCTGTTCTGCTACAACTGACAGCAATTTTTCATCATCTCAGGCTAAAAGTCTCTCCCCAGATAGAGATGATTGTAACTGGAAATTAAATCTTGGGCTTTGCATGTGCCAAGCATGTGTTTTAACACTGACCTATGGCCCTAGTTATGCCTAGGAAGAAACAGCACATGGTGGAGAGCAGGGAGAGTATATTGCAGTTCTTCACAATTCTTGCCAACACAGCTTGTACTCAGTTATGTATTTAATTATTTGGGTGTGGAAATGAGTAGTTATACACTTATTGAGAGATTGAGAGAGAATAGGAATCCATAAGATCAGTATGAATAGAATATTCATCCCATTACTGTATAAGATTCCTCTCATCTCCTTCTGGTGGTTCCTTCTGTTGGTTTTATCCTTAAGAGCAGGGAACAATCCATAAATGAGGAACCCTGTGCTCTTAGGATAGTTGGGGGGTGGGAGCAACTGGATGCCAAGAGGAAGGTGATTTGTTGTTAAATATTCCACTGCAACAGAAAGTCCCAGTTCTGTTGATGTACCTCACATGGTGCTCTGTAAGTGGTAAGGCCAAAAATCGGCCCCTGGAGATATCATGGAGAGCATTTGAATTTGCTAGAGCCAAACTCCCTTCCTAATTGTTCCTCAGATGTGCCCCAGAAACACTGAAGGAAAATGCCAGTCCTGGAGCTGGCGTTCTTCTTTCTTCTTTCATTAGTGTCAGTGGGAGGGATTCTGTTTTAAAAAAATTAATCCATGGGTCAATCAGGGGATGAATGCCCCTGCTGCTTCATCCCTGTTCAGCACAACTCAGCAAGGCTCAGGAAGAGGCAGTTTCTTTACCACAGAATTTCCCTTCTCTTATGATTACTTAGTCGATATGTAAGAGAGTAAGGAGAAAAAAACATAATATGTCTCATAACTGCGGTGTCACCATGAAGAAAGCTCTGCTCCAAGCACATAGAGTTTAGAAATGCTGTTGTTTTGAACTGAATTTGGAGGCTACATTGAGTGGTTCAGGTTTTGAACTAGAATAGGAATCTTCCTGGTAAATAAAGAGTAACTTGAACGCCTCAAAATGGAGGCAGCTGGAGTAGAACTTTACCAGATGTCCATATGGAAAAGACAGGGTTTCCACAGGACAGTCCTATGGTGGCCTACAATTAGTAACTTTCCACATCCTACCTAGGGTTCACATGACATGATGTCTCCACACGTTGAACAACTGTGTGATGAGGTTTTGGAGCCACAGGAGCTAGCCTGAATAGAGGAGTTTAGAAAAGGCCATGGGATGTCTGGGTGGAATGGAGATTGATTGCATAGTCACCCATTGTATTGGCAGTGATGGATTGTGGCCATTGTGCACCCTGATGACTCCTTGGCCATTTCGGTGTTGTTTAAATGGGGTAGGCTGGTAGTAAAGCAACCAACAGGCCACATGCATAGGCAGAGTGTAGGAAAGAAGAAAGTGTCTCCATTCCCAGAAATGTCCTCTCAGATAAGTTGAAACTTGACCAGCACAAGAGTGGATCTGGAAGCCTTTCATGGCTCCCCACGATTCCTTATAGTGGGAGTCACTATTCTACCAGGGTTGTCCTGCTAAGAGTAAGCAACTTCAGGAGGTGGTTTGGGCTCTCAAGAAAATATGGCAATTATAATTATTTGAAATTCATTTTCATTTTTACTAACTTAGCTATCAAATGTACTTGACTACCAGTGGGCCTGACACACCTTGACAACGGGAATGGGTTGTCCTGTGCTGTTCTGCCTCAGGTGGCCAAAATGTCCCTGTGGAGCCCTGTTATCTGCTCACAAAGTGCCTCCGAATTTGAATCCTTTCCATGTTTGTGTCTTCCAGCAGGGCAAAGTGAGGCAACCTCTGGGGGCCCTGCGCAGCCCCCCGGTTGGGTGTGGGGGGCTAAACTTGGGCCCCCGAAGTGAGATCCCTGGCTGTGCTGACTGTGGGGGAGTCATGGGGGGTGCCGGCCCCCACGTTCATGATTGGGGATCCGAACGGATAGAACCCTGTGGCATCAGGTCAGTCCAACTCTCTGTTCCTCAACCTGAGAGCGGCCGGTAAATGGAAAAGAGGAGGGGGGGGAAGGATGGGAGAGAACCCTTCCCACCTAATGCGTGTGTCTCCTTGTTGCTCCCTTTCCCAAAGCTGCAGTACCCGGCAAAGTCCTCAGGTGACTTGTGAGGCTCGTATCCCTGCAACAGAGACTACTCCAGCTGCAGGAGGTGAGTGCTGGAGTAGTTGGGGAAGATGCAGATAAGATAAGGCAGCTTAAGGATGGGGCTGGGGTGAGATTCTGGACAGAAAATGATGTTTAGTAGAAGCTCTCTCTGTGTGTTATATTTTCAACTGAGCAAGCTCTGAGTGGCCACTGCTAATGGGCTCTAATTAACTCCCACCCAAGCCAAGATGGAGGTGAAGGGCTTTTTACTCCCTCTTCTCCCACATAACATGAAGAGTTGCCTCAGAGACTTTCCTTGAGGCGAGAGGTGAGCCAAGGGTGGCCTTCCAGAGGTTGGTTGGCCTGCAGCTCCCAGCGTTCCTCATCACTGGCTATGCTGGCTAGGCTTGCTGGGAGTTGTAGTCCAAAAAGTATCTGGAGGGCCACTGGCCATCCACCTCTGCTCAGGTACTGCTCATTACCCCTTCGTCGTCCCTTGGCTTCTCCTTGACAATAAGCCACAACATGCTTCAAAGGAAGCCTCTGCCTAGGCCTCTCCACACTACCACAGAGGGCTCTTAGCAACCATTTAGGCTGGATTCTTAGCCTAGACAGAAATGGCGGAAGTACAGAATTATAGTGGGGAGAGGTAGGATTCAAATCTATGCTGGGGATGAGATGGAAAGCTTTAGGGCCCAGTTTGGCCTCTCGTATTCCAGCCACTAATGAGATTGTGTGAGCATATGCCACCATTAGATCTTACTAATAGGTGTGTAAAGAATATTTGCCTTTGGCAAATGCTAATCACTTGAAAGAAAATGTGATTTTCCTCCTCTCTACCCTGCCTTTCTTTTGAAGTCAAACATTAAAAAGGACAGGTGTGCGTGGGCATGCTAGGAAAATATTTTGTGGACTAGTGTACAGAGCCATAGTAGGGTTTAACTGTGTTCCAAAATGCTACGTTTTTCACCCATGGGGGCAAAATGGTGCACTGCAGTAAGACCATGAGTGCACTGCACTCACTACTGGGTCTGTTTTGGGACTATAACTGTATTTTGCTCCTCCTCTCACTTCGCTATATATATAGAAATTTTGCAAGCCTGGTAGTAATACCAGGGAAGGGATATATATATCCCTTCCCTAGTATCATTACCAGGCTTGCAAAATTTTTATCATAAACAGAGGAATAGAGGAGCAAGCCTCAGACTCATAGTGAATTGGGGAAAGTATGCGTGTGGCGTTGAAATTAGAAAAATCGCATTACATCCAACACATTTTGGTTTAAAATCTGGGCAGTAGAATCTGATTTTTTTTTTCATCAAATAGAAATCTCTAGGATCTCTTCTCTAACAAAAAAGATCATCCCAATTTATTGTAAGTCATAAGATCTGCATCACTTAGGGTTAACTTTTTTCACATCAGAGCTTGGAAAAGTTACTTTCTGGACTGCCGCTCCAAGAATCCTCCAGAGGCTTTGCTGGTTTAGGGAGTCATAGCCAGAAATGTAAGTTTTCCAAGTTCTGTTTCATGTCCTGAAATACAGAAATAGATTGTAATCATGGTGAAGCTTTGCTTCAGACATATTCTATGAGGAAATTACACAGACCTTCTATTTCTGCGGGGAGGAACCTGGGACCTTGAGCCTCATTTCTGGTGGCCTGCGGCCTACTTTCAAAAATCCTCTTCAAATAGTCTGTTCAGACCCCAGGCAAGAATGACTTGTTCCTTTCCCCAAACTCTGCTGGACAAGGAGGGAGAGAAAAAAGAAGAGAAGAAGGTGCAGAAATAAGATGGTGGTGGAAAACCATGGAAATAAAATGAGGAGGGCTTTGGTCCTAGCCTCACCCACTGCAGAATTTTTCTCTCTCTTAACAGATTAACCTCAGGGAAATGGAACCCTTGACATGAAAGGTGTCATCCAGACCTTCTTTGTCATATCCTCCCTTCCAATTTGTGGTCTCTAGTGGTGGTAACCGCTGATGCTCCTTGGGAAGGGAGTAAAATTTGCTACAGCTTTTGGCCAAAGGGTCAAGTTCTTTATATCCAGAGGGCCCTATCTGATCTATCAGATTTAGGTTGCAATCCTACACCCATTTTCCTGGGAGTAAGCCCTATTGAGCTGAATAAGACTTACTTCTGAGTAGAAATGTATAGGATTGCACTGTTAGCAATCATAATATACCTGTTACCAATGTATCCAATTCTGTTTTGCAGTCAATGGGTTTCTTGGCTCCTGCAACTGCTCCAAGCAGACGATTCCAGAATATTAGTCCTTCTAAATGTATGAATGGCTAGTTTATAACCAGTTTATGGCCTTGCATTCCATAGCAGTGCCTCATCTTGGCTAGAGCTGAAAAATGGGTATTTGAAATTCACTGAAATTTCCAATTTCACCATTTAAATGTGCATTTTGAATGTGACATTTTTGCCACCAATGAAATGGTTTTAGATGTGCTGGCATCTCTTGGTGCTTTTGGCAGGCATTTATTTGTTTGTTTGTTTATTTACATGTGTATATACCCCACTTAAACCAGTCATATACATCAATGATACAATATAAGCAAATACAAAATCTCATAACCTGTCAGCTTTCAAATACTAAATACCACAACATGCCATCCGTCAATTGCTGTTTGATACTAAATCCCATTACATGACACTTATTCAAGTGCAGTCGGATACTAAATATTATTGCTTGCCACCCATCAGATACTAAATCCCATTGCTTATTAACTCTTAATTACTATCAAATACAAAAAAAAATCCGTTGCATGCCAGTTATTAAATCCATTCCATTTTGCCTGTCAAATATCCTAGAAAGCCAAATGCAGATATATCAAATATTGGACAAATATTTGGCAGATGATTGTCATCTGGAGAATATTTGACATATAAATCTGGAAGAGATTTTTTTTTTTTAACGGCAGGAAATGCGATTTGTTCCAGCCCCTTCCTCTTGACTCTAAGAGGGGGCTACTGTGTTGCTGCTGTCTGTCATTCATGGGCAAAGATAGCTCTCTCTGTTTTCCTTCCCCCTTGCAGTGAATGTCGTTGTAGTGGTTGACGGAAACTGCATCCTCCAGTATACCCATCGTCAGTCACCTTGCTCCTGCCTTTCGGATGGGGAGCCTCTCTTGCCCCGGCGCCCTCCACCAACTTATGGTGCTGTGCCCCCCAGCCCCACTCTCCCCCGTGGGCCGGCTTGCGGCCAAGAAGCTGGACCACCCCCGTCCCGCAGCAGGACCCGTGGACTCAGCGTCCGCTGTTGCACCAAAGCCTGCCTGGGCGATGAAGAGGAACATGCTGAACGGCACCTCCATCGGGGGCCACCCTGCAGCCGTCTCACCCCAGTGCCCTTGCCCCGCAGCCCCTCTGGGCCGTGGTTTGGAGTGGGATCTCTCAGTGGGGGCAGGCCAGGCGCTCGGGTGGTGAAGATCTGGGACCAGCAGCGATGCCCTTTGTTGGAGGAAGGGGATGTCATCGCCAAAGTGAATGGGGCGGATGTGCGCGATCTGAGCCCCGGCGAAGTGGAGAGTGTCTTGCAGGAGCATACGCGAACGGGAGATGTGATCCTTCTGGTGGAGAGGAAAGGTGAGCGACAAAAAGAGGCAGGGCCGTAGCTAGATAGATTAAAATGTTGCTGCATCCCTTCACCGCTACCCTCCGACCATCTTTCCATGTGCTGCAGATCAGCTTTCTCAATAATAACGGCACATTAAAAAAAGTAAACCAAGAGTTTCTTTTCTTGCTTTGATTTTTAATTCCAGCATATTATCTAACAAAACCAAAGGGCAGTGTTCAAAAGCATGTGATAAACCTCTGCAAATGTCTGCCAATTCTCCTTCTTTTTTCCCTTGACAAAATGGTATCTCTGCCCTGGGCGGCAAGTCTGCAGGTGCTGAGTCATGTCCCCTAAAATGCAGCAGCAGAAGCTGCTGTCGCCAAGCATCCAGGCAGGCAAGTCGCTACTAAGAGGCGTTTGAGCACCTTTTCAAGAAACACAAACAGCAGCTCTCCCCACAAGTCATTTTGCTTAGCCGAGGCCGACGCCGCTGGAATTTTGGCACAGAGCAGGTGACAACCGGCTAGCTTCTGTTTATGGCAAGGCTTGACTCTCACAGAGTGAAGCAATCAAGGGCAGCAAAGCTCAAGTTGTGACTTCAGGTGTGACAAGCTAGGTTTCAAATTCTCTGCCACAGCAGAGGTCCTCTGCAGAGATCCAATACGTCATTCCAATAAATGATCACATTGAGTTACACTAATACTTAAATGGTTCATAACATGGCTGTAAGCTTGGCACTGGTAATTTATTACCTATGGAATTACTGTTTGTAATATTAGTTGCAAGACGAAGTTCCCAGTTCGCTTGTCATATTAGTCCTAGATCCAGAGTAGCTGCAAATTCTGCATGGCACTGGGTACAGCAGGTGAAGAAAATAGGAATGACAGGCAAATTCGTTAAAATAGGTGGGCAGCTTCCTGGGGTTAAGGTAACCCACTGGCTCAGAACTCACTCAGAGGAACAGCCATCAGCTGGAATTCAGTGGGGTGAGGCTGAATTTCCCCACAGCTTCTCCACTTGGCAGCTGAAGGGGCTCTCTATGGTCCAGAACAGTGGTTCTTAACCTTTTTGAAAGAAACGCCCCCTTGAGCCGTTGAGGAAGTTATCATCACCCCCCTCCCCGCGGTGATGATATCTTATTTATTTATTTGTTTGTTTGTTTGTTTGTTTGTTTGTTTAAGACACTTAAATCCAATGACCCCTGAAAACAAACTTCAATTGCAAGGAAATGAAATGCCCCCAAAAAGTAACATTTAATGATTTAGTTGCAAGGGAATTTTAAGACGCAAAAAGAAATATAAAAAGGGTATAAAAACAAACCGCAATGCAGGAATTAAAAATTTCAAGACGAAAACTCTGAAACTAAATTAAGATTGGAGGAAAATATATATTCATGCACACTGTAAAAAGGCTGCAGCCATCTTCACAGGTCTGGCATGCTCCAGTGCCCCCCTACCGCCCCCTTCTGCTCCAGCGCCCCCACGCTGCCCCTTTTCATTCCACCGCCCCCCTGAAAAATGAAATCGCCCCCTGGGGGGCATTATCGCCCACGTTAAGAACCACTGGTCCAGAAGATGCCAGAGTGCTCTTTTGCACCATAGAGCTCTGCTTATCTGCAGAGCTGAACATCTTCCTCTTGGGAAGGGAAGGGGGGGGCAACATACAGGCCTTTTGTGCTGGTGCTGATTTTTGGTAGTGTAGGTTGTGTTGGTGGCTGTGGCAGCAACATGGTTTCATTTGCAGCAAACAGGGGCAACCAAGAGAGGCTCGGAAGGAAAAAACTAGAAACCGGGCCTTCTCGGCAGTGGCCCCTCGGCTGTGGAATGCCCTTCCAGCAGAAATTCGGCTGGCACCCTCACTGGGTGTTTTTAAAAAACACTTTAAAACTTGGCTATTTAAACAGGCCTTCCCTCCAGTCAGCTAAGTCTTTTATTTTCTTTCTCTCATCTCATTCCATTCTGCTAATTTTAATCTAACTGTATTAACTAATATATTAATTGTATTTTATGATTACAGTATTTACATTTTATATTGTCTTATTTTATGTTGTAAGCCGCCCCGAGTAGACATGGTTTAGAGGGGCGGGGTATAAATTTAATAAATAAAATAAAATAAATAAAATAAATAAAACTGCCTTTGGGCTTCCGTGTAACTTACAGGTCATGTTACCCACACCTGGGAGTTATGGCCTCATCGGGGCTCCCTGGCATACAATACCCCCCCCAATATACTTATATTTTGATTAACACTTGGTGTAGGTGCAGCGAGAAACACAATGGAACAAGCTACTCTAAGTGATTTTAGGCAAACCATTATTACCGTAGCCTCAGCCATCCATTTCAACAGAAGAATCATACTGTATTGTGTTAATGTTTTAATGATTACAGAGAGGACAGATGGCATGTGTATTAACCCTTAATGTGGTATAAACAAGTTTTATACTCACAGGCATGCATGCATGTAGCAGCACATGATGTGTTACAGCATGCAGAAAAACAGAATTTATTTGTTTATTTAAAGCAGTGGTTCTTAACGTGGGCG